CTCAGGAGAGCTTGGGTGATGGGGAGGGGGGCAATATACAGGGAGGGAGAGGGAAGTGGAGAAAAGGGGCAGATGGGAGAACAATAGGGCATGTTTAGATGGACCAAGTGGGACAGAGATAAAGGACGATGTGTGTACATCCTTGGAGCTCCAGGGCTCTGAGATACAGGGATTGACCCATGGTCGGAATGGGCGGGGAATTGTGTTAAGATGCTTGACTGTTTTTTTGAATCTTGGTTTCCCTTGCATTATAATATAGAGTAGACACGGGAGGGGGAGAGAAAGGAATAGTCAGAAACATCACACTAGAAGGCTTGTAAGTCCGTCTTCTGCCTTTAACTGACTGGAATACCTACAACGGGGTTACAGCATACCCGGTGAACGAGGCTTTCTGCCGAGCCTTTGCAATACATAAAACTATAGGTAGAAACCAGAACCACATCCAGATCACCAGAGATGAGAAATCCCCACTTGAAGGGACGAGCTGAAGAGCCTGGAACGGTGAGAAGAACAAAAGATACGTCTTGAATGGAAGACCTACAGGAAAAATACGACACAATGGAGATAGATGGACTGCTACTACGGGAACAAACGGGTCGCTCCCCTAGGAGACATTGGGGCAGTCGGTCGGGTCCCACCAACGTAGCCCACCCCCCCAAAACTGAGACTCAGTGGAAATGCACGCTTGGATTGGTAAACACACACATCACCGTTGGGGAGACATGGGATAAAGGCAGCAATGAAGCGGCGAGCTAAGCCTCACAATATTCAGAGGGCTTCTGTGGACCAGGTTGGGGACCTGGTTGGCAAGCAGTGCGAGGAGACCTGAGGACTCATTGGGCCCAGAGTCAGTGACATGGCCACGGAGGACTCAAGTGGAGAATGGAGCTGCTGGCTGATGGGAAGAGAGGGCATGTGCACAAGAACACCCACACTTGCAGATGACACCTACGTGACCGGGACTGGATGACTGGATGATCAGAAGTTAACCAGGAGAAGAAAGGAGGGGCGGGGGAAGGAAAGAAGACTGAGCTGATCCAAGCTGATGAACTTAATCTATGCACATGAATGCAGTGACACAAAAGAGGCAACAAATCCTTACAGCAAGAAGCATTCCCACCCCCTCCACACACAGAGTAGACAGAGAGGGGCAACTTGGACATTGGATACCCAAATGGGGAGGGAGGGACTACAAAGGCAAGAAGTAACTGGCTTACAAGCTTTCAAGAGGGAACCTAGAGCTAGGGGGCATGGAGGAAGGCAGAATCACCAGTGAGTACTATCCAATTTGTCTAGGTGGAGCTGATGAAATGAAATACAGATGGGTTACGTGCGATACTGTAGTGAATAATGGTTATCAAGATGGATTGTGAGTGTTGGAAATGCAAGGGTAGATGTTTTGTAGCAAGGAAGAGAGCGATTATTTCTCCAGTCTAGGAGCGGAGGTCTCTGGGACCACCGACGGATAAGAGCCGAGAACGGGACCCCACCCAAAAAACCGGGGATGCCTGAGATGGAGACAGAGATGATGACATGGAGGGTTGAAGTGGCTGGGGACTTTGGATCCAGAGAAGGAGAGGAACTGTGGGCTGAAGACTGAGAGGGGGAGAGGGGAGTATAGAGCAAAGGATATGCCCTTTGGTCGGAGGGGATTGGAACCATGGCAATGTAATGATATATGATGGAATGAATATGGAACTGAGGTTCTCTCATGGAAACTATCATATAACTCACAATAAAACAAACAAACAAACAAAAAGTAAAAAAAAAAAAAGATAATGGTATTTTTCTACCAACTTTTGGAAGCCCCCATGTACACCTCCAACTTTCTTACCTCTTTATTCTCTACCTGGTAATTACTAACATTCTTGAAAATTCTCCCTTAGGGTATCATCCAGTGGTTACTTCCAACACATTTAATACAGAGTTACTCTTACCCTCCCCTCTATTACATTTGTTGTAATAAGTGGATTAAGGCTGAGGATTTCTTTAAGAGCATGGATTGTACCTTGTCCTTTTTTAAAATCCTGCTTTTATACCATAAGGAACCCTGGTGGTACTGTGGGTAGAGACTGCCATTATTCTAACTCATAGCGACTCTATAGTGTTTCCCAGACTAAAATCAATCCTTATAGGAGTGAACTTCATCTTTCTCCAGAGGAGCAGCGTTTTGATTTTAAACCACCGACACTGAGTTTAGGAGACCAGTGCCTAATCCATTGCTCCACCAGGACTCCTTTTTAGAAGTATACCAAATGCAAAAAACAAAACAACAACAACAAAAAAAAACCCAAATCACTGTTTAATCAATTCCAACTCATGGTGATCCAATATGACAGAATAGAGCTGCTCCTTTAGGTTTCTAAGGCTGTGAATCTTTACAGGAACAGACAGCCTCATCTTTCTCCTGTGGCGTGGTGGGTGGGTTTCAATCACCAGCCTGTGGCTAGCTTACCCCAAAATACCACCAGGGGTCCTAAGAAGCATATTAAACCTTTAAATATAGTTTCTTCAAAGTGATGTCCCTGCAATATTTTGATATCATTCTAAATAACTACTTTAGGACTGAGCTACTATATGTTTAGCGAATGTTGGCAATCTTTGAAAAGCTTTACTAAATTCACCATGACAGAGAATTTGTCCTCTAACATACATTGTGTTCAGATGACAAGACACTTCAAATTCAGGGCAAACTGATCTACAAGTAACTCTTTTTTTTTATTTTTTAAAGTAGCTGTATTAGAACTGAGGATCTCTGGCAGAACTATAGGATAAACACTGGACTGTTAACCACAAAGTCAGCAGTTCAAACCCACCAGGAAGAAAGAAGAGGCTTTCTGTTCCTTTAAAGATTAACTGCCTCAGAAACCCTAAACAGGTTGCTATGAGTCAGAACAGACTTGACAGCAGTGGGGATATTAGAATTGAAGCTAGATAAACCATGAGTAAGAAGTGGTTGAGAGATGTTTATAGGGGAAAGGTTAGGAATAATATTTGATAGAAAAAATATAAGTAACTTTTCCCTCCAAATGTTCTCTGTTAAAAACTAAAAGTATGAGGGGGCAAGCTGATCCTCTAATTCTGAGAGTATTATCAGTAAACCTGTGTGACTTAGAAGCTACTCTTCTGCAGGCAGATAGGATCTTATCACGGTACTTCGTACTTTTTGCTCTCCTCTATTTGATGGAGAGGAGGGAAAGGAATTAATACACATTGATCACAGAGTCTATGGCAAGTAAGGTTTCTGGAACAATAATTGTTCATAAACACATTGTCTGCAGGCTAACTGTGGCTTCTCCCTGTCTGCTTCTACCAGGCAGTGTTTCATTCTGTTATACACACACAGGATCCTATGAGTCGGAACCAACTCGATGGTACCTGACAACAACACTACCATGTCTCCAATGGACCTGAGAGCGGTCCACATCTTCCCACTATTGCTATTTCAGGACTGCAAAGCCAGTCTATTGCAATTCCTCTGTAGTTGTCAACATTATTCTGGGGTAATCAGATTTCTGGAGTCCTGGTATGGCGCTGTGGGATAATGCACTGGACCACTGCAAGGTCAGTTTGAACCACAAGGTCAGCTGCTCCCTGGAAACCTTATACAGGGTTGCTATGAGTCGGAACTGATTCGACGGCACTTAACAACAACAAATCATATTTCTAAAGTAAATCATTTCTTCCATTAGTGGTGATGGTGGTTGTGTGCTATCAAGTCAGTCCCAACTCAGCAATCCTGGATAGGTTTTCCAAGGCAGAAATCTTCCCAGGAGGAGAAAGCCTCATCTTTCTCCCATGGAGAGGATGGTAGGTTTGAACTGCTGACCAACAGGTTTAGCAGCCCAGTGTGCAACCCACTAGTAAGCATTAATCATAATATTTTAGGCAGAGAGCCATTTTAGGTCAAGCTAAAATAATTTCTTTTATCCAAATAAAGACCAATTGTAAAAAGTAACTTACGCAGAATGAGTTTACGCTTCTTTTGCTCCGAGTGAAGAAAGCTGCTAAGGTAGAAGACCACAGGTAGAAAGAGAATGAACACAGAGACAGCAATTACAGGCACTGTGTCACTGCAAAGGACCGAGCAGTTGAAAGTCCGACTCCAGAGTTTTCGGGTAATGTTCATCTGGAACAAGAAGTAACATGACTCTTTCACATTTAACTTGTCTCCAATTTTATACAGTTATTTTGCTAACACCTTAACAGCCACCCAGAATTTAGACTATAACTCATTGCCAACTCATAGGAAGCCCTGGTGTTCCGGAGAATCACTGTTCCACAGGGTTTTCAATGGTTGATTTTTCAGTCGATTACCAGGTTTTTCTTCACAGGAAGTTCTAGGTAGATTTGATCTACCAACCTTTCAGTTAGTAGTCAAGCACTTGATTAATCATTTGTACTACCTAAGGACCCATTCCTAAAACTCTACTGCTGGAATTCTCATGAACCCCAGACTTTCTGGGACCATGACTGTTGGCTGAACCTCTGAAACAATTGCCGTGAAATAATCTGCATAAGTTAAACCAAACGTATTACCTGAAGTCTTCTTAAAACCAAACAATAGTTTAGTTTCACTAGCAAAAAACATATGCCTTGAGTATTATATTCTTTTAAGAATTATCAATTTGACAACAGTAACTGGAAAGAAAATATAGGAACTTTAGGAGGCAAAGACTTTATATTATTGAGGGAGGAGCAACTCAGAAAAGAGGGTGAGACTTGTAGAATGTAATCAGCGTCACAACTGTACATGTAAAAATTGTTGATGGGAATAATCAATTGTTGGTTGGGAACAGTTTTCTCCTGCCAGAGAAATATGCTGGTTCACACTATTCATACAGAAAATTCATATTCTAAATTATTACTATGTCCAAAACAATCTAGATGGCCAACTTCTCAAAGATTTCAAACAGAAAACTTGTATAAACAGAAATATAGTTAAACCTTGATTTGTTCACTAAAAACATTATTTATTGAGAATCTGGACTCCTAGTGTGGTGCTGTGGGTTAATGCGTTAGACTGCAAAGTCGGTTTGAACTGCAATGTCGGTGGCTCAAGCTCAGCAGTCACTCCTTGGAAACCCTATACAGGGTTGTTATAGGTTGGAACCGACTTGACAGCATTTAACAACAACATTGAGAATCTACTAGAAGCCAAATATGCACTGGGGCTAACAGTAAAAAAAAAAAAAGACAAAAATTTCTTTCCTCATGGAATGCCCATTTTAATGGTTTTAACATTTTGAAGATTATTGATTCATTGTAGTCCCCCATCTCGCTCCTCAGAAATCCTATAAAGGGTCACTATAAGTTCATACAGACTTGACGGCATTTAACAACATATTTTACTCTGGAGCATGGTGGCTCCATATAATAAGCACTAGATTGCAAACCACGGGGTCTGAGGTTTGAGCCTGCCAGCTGCTCCACAAGACAAAGATGAGCCTTTCTGCTCCTGTTAGGATTGAAAGCCTTGGAAACCCTATACAGGGTCGCTATGAGTCAGAACTGACTCCATGGCACTTAACAATAGCAGTATTTCACTAGGAACTGAAGAAATTCTTAATTTTCAAACATAATAAATTGATCAATTTTGATAATTGAATTCTATACTGTAGCCAATAATTTCTAAATTTCCTCTAATGCCCAAATTCCAGTCAGCATGTTCCCTTAACAAGACATTATTGCCATCTAGTGGTATATCATGTAAAGGCAGGCTACACAACAGAGAAAAAGACTTTTTTAAAAATATGTTTTATTGTGAATTATGTGATAGTTTACATGGGAGAACATTAGTTTTACATTCATCCTATAATATATTGTTACATTGCCATGGTTACAATC